CCCCAAAACCCCAAAACCCCAAAACCCCTTAACCATGAAATTATTGAATCATTTAAATAGTTAAAATTAATCTAATAAATATTTCACATTTTGGAGAATTTAAGTCTTGAATCAATGAGAAACATTAAGTATAAAGCTATTGTTTCTCACATTTCATAGTTCATTTTTTATTGATTTACGATTGGTGATATTTTCACATTCAAAGGTTATGGAGCTTCATCTTCTTCTTCAGGATTCACAAGAAATTTCCTTGATACTTTTCCCTCACTTGCACGAGGTCTTATTGTTTTCCTTAAGGGAGAAACACAGCTTTGTTGCATCATCTGTGCATTGAATTGAATGTCAGTGTATTAAGTTTTGAAAGCACTAGCCTCATCCATCAACATAATTTAGCTTTCATCAGTCTTTAGCTAAACTAAGTTACTATTTCTTCCATTATAATTGCAGCAATTATTTCTGCTTACAGAATTCATATGAGTATTTTATGCACTAGAAGTTCTGATGTTTTTATTTGGAGTTTTAGACAGATTTTCTCTTCTTTCCTTTACTTCATTCTTAAATTAGTCTCTTCTCTACTCATAAGTCAAATCTCTAAAATGCTATTCTTGCTTCTTTATTTCGATAAGATTATGAATTTTTTCATCTTTAATTTAAATCTTTTGAATCAAGCCTCTTTTCTTTTCTTCTTCAAGGATAGCCTTCCTTTTTATGCAAATATTTTGCTAGTTATTGTCTAATGATTAAAGTTAATCAAGGAATAATTTGTTAACATTATCAATTCTCAACTCAGGATTCGATGGAATACTAACTAGCTAAGCCTCTGAATTAAGAATACTCTAGCTTAGATTTGATTTAAGAATGCCTTGTTTAATCAAAATAGATTGTATATGTTAATTAGAATTAACTATTTTAGATTTATCTATTATCTGAATAGGTTATTGCTATTATGACTATTGTTGACAAATTTTGATCTTTTGGATAATGAGTTAAGATTTACCAAGAGAAGCATCACTATCTGATTTCAACATAGATCTTGAAGTCTAACTTTATTGCTTAATGTTTAAGCTCTTATTTGAAATTTAATTGCTTCTGATAGTTTTGATATTTTAAGGTTTAGTTGTATATTGAGTGAGAACACTTTGTTTTTTCTACTCGGATTTTTAAATTGCCACTGGAGCTATTGGAATATCACTTCTATGAGAATTTAATTGAGATCCCTGAGTTTATTGCTGTATAGTTCTCTACTGTCGAACTGGAGTAAGATTTTATGGTATGGTGCTTTAATATCTTTGCCTTAGAATGCTTGATGCCTTTTGATAGGAATTATTAGCTGATTTCTTGGTATTTTACGGGGTCCTTTAAAGATTAGTGTTAGCCTTTGTTGTATTAGGATCTGAAGCAATATCTCTCCTTGGGCATCTCAACTAATCTTTGCAACTACTTTCATAATCTTTTGCAGAAGGTGAGACTAATTTTAGTTCATTCCTTTTTTCATTCATAATCTGCTTTACCTTCTCACAAGATTTAGTTAGCTTAGATTTCTCTGGACTTTTTACCAATATTTAATTAGCATTCACTCTATTTGGATTTTGTGGTGCCTTGGTAATGAAATTTGCCAATTAAGCAGTTGAACTCATTTTATTTTAAACTGAGCATTTAAGATTTTAGTTTTGTTTTGGGCAACCCTACAACCCCTAATGATCATGATTAATTGCACTATTGCTCTAATAGATTTGAGAATTTCTACTTATTTTAATAGTATTCGTTTAAGTTTCTTTTATAGCTGAGGATCTGTTAAATAAATGAGATCTATAGAGATCATCTTTCTTTTTTGTGCTCGAGTTATTAATAAATTATTGTAAAGCTGACCTAGTGGGAGTTTACATATAGCTTGATTAGCATTTAGGAGATGTAATTGTTGAGCTTCCAAAATTTTTATCAAATTCTTGCTGTTAATTATTTAGTGTAAAATTTAAATCCTTGTCAGCAAATGTCTCCATATTACTATTCCTAGGTATAACAGTAGGAAACTCAGAGGTGCAAGTCATTGCATCTAACTTTACTCTTTGTATTGTTTAAGTTTATTTAGAGTGAATCATTGGTTTCATTCTTATTCTTTCATTCTCTTATCTTAATAAATTAATTTCACTTTCAAGAATGTTTATTTTCATCTAGTTTTGATCATTATATGCTCTATATTTTTGACATTCTAGCAAACTTTAAGAAACTCTCTGATTAAGGTCCTTATTTAACTATACCAAATATTCTATTTACTATTCTAATCCCATTAGACTATTTTATTAATCCTTAATAATTTCATCTTTCAATTCTAATTAGTTGATAAAGCTATCTTTCATTTCAATCTATTGTTCATGTTGATTTAATTGCTGGCTCATTTTATTTTCCCTATCACTCATCTCATTTAAAGTCTTTTTTAATTTTTCTATCTCAGCCTAATATCTTTAGTTAGAATCAGATTTTTCACTTTCTGGAATCATTATGGAGGTTTGAAAAGAATTTAAAGCAGAGTTATTCTGATGATTATACAAAGCTGAGCTGACTACCTAAGATCTTTTATAAGGAGTACCACTCACAGTTTTAGCCATTTCAGAAATAAGATTATTTTCTTTCATAGTCGAGGAACTAGAAGCGCTATTGCTTTTTGTTATATCCTTAATAATGTTTGATACTCTCTGCTTAATATATTCTCTATTTTACCTAGATTGATACTTATCTTAATCCATTTAATGATTTTATTTTTATTGCTAATTATCATTATGCATGATTAGGGGTTCTCCCTATACTATAGAAGAAGTTTGTTATTAACTAACACTTTACTAATTTATCAATGATTAATACAGTATTTGCTGTTATGAAAGAAATTCTCTTGAGTTCTCAATGCTGAAGTTTTAATTTTTCTTTTCATCTTAACTGCAGGGATTAATATTATGAGGTAAATTATACTCTCCCAAACTGATGAATTGGCAATTTTATGATTAGTTGCTCATGCACGGGGAATTGATTGTGTCATAATTCTACATTATGTATTATCCCATTTAATTATCAATTTTCTCATTAAGTGCTTAGTTTGTGGCTTAGTTCCCTAATTTCATATCATTGAGACTTAGATTGACCAATGCTTATTAAAGTATTTACACTTCTGACTTTAATTTTTAATTTTTGTCTCTTAATACTGTCCTGTTAGAAGACTTTCTTGTATGCAAGAAGGAGTTAATGCTTTAATTTTGAGTTGATGAGGATGTAGATGATTTTCTAGATAGACTATTTGAGTTGATATTTTATTGGTATGAGTTCTTCATTTACAAAATAAAAATTAAATTCTAGTTGTTAACTTTGCTGAGTTCTGATTATTTAGATAACGGGGTTTTGGGGTTTTGGGGTTTTGGGGTTTTGGGG